ATAAATAAATAAATAAATAAATAAATAAATAAATAAATAAATAAATATAATAAAAATTATAAATAATTTACATTACCTCCAAAAAATTTTTTTTTCCAAAAGGGGGACGCGGCCCAACTATAAGACAGCTGGCCTACGTTGTAGGTCGAACTCCCAGGCGTGCCAACTGCCTTTTTGTTTCAATATCATTCTTTATTCCTTTTTTGTTATTATGGCAGAGAACAATCCCAGCGGACCTTCTTTGAAGGCTAAGTCAAAGACGCACCATTTGCGCAAACGGGACAAGGACTCATCCAAAGACTCTCAGAAGGACGCCCTAAGGCGCCCTAAGGCTTTGGAGAAGGAGTTTGACAAACGGTCCAAAGACTCTCATTCTGTAACCCTTACTCTTCCCACCCCCTCTACCTCTACCCAACCCCCCCCTGCCAGAACAGCCTTCTCTTTCCAGGTGCAGTTCACCCGCCCGGAGTCGCCAGGCCACTCGAGCACCTGAAGCGACATTCACACCAACCGCTGCGGGCCTATGCCCAGAAGGTCCATCCACAACCATCATTCCAGACAGTATTAGAGAATGGATGCAACTGGCTATCCGTCAAGGAATAGCGGAAGGTATCCAACAGCTATCCAGACCAAGTTCACAAATGATGGCGCCCGAGGTCGAATCTGTTTCTGGAAGATCCCTCCTCAGGCCGGAATCACAACACGGTCAGGTACCTTCCCAAATGGAGCCCCCTTTCCCAGAAGGGGAGGAGGCACAGGAAGAGGAGGAAATGGGCTTTGAACCCTTCAGGGAAGAGGAAGGGTCAGATGGGGGGTCCCTACAATACTCCGAACCCTTTTTCGAGGTAGACCCAATGGAAGGAGAGATGTCAGAGGACGAAGGCATACCTCCTGACCAACCCGTCTTTGTAGGCCTGTTTAAGCCTCATTTGTTTAAGTCCTTGCTATTTAAGGCAAAAAATATTTCAGGCCTGACTTCCCAGTCACCCTCTGATCCATCTCCAGCGACCCCGGGAGGGCCAGAAGATTCTATATTCAAACAACCGGTCGTAGAAACCGAGGTCATTCCTACTCCACCAATTTTCTCCGACTTGGTAGCGAGACAATTGGCCTCTTCGGCCCCCCCACCCCCCCCGCTCCTTCCAGTCAGGACAAGAGATTGTTTAATCTCGATACGGAATTCTCTGTCATGTTAAACACTCCCGAGGTGGACGACCCCATAGTGAGACTAGCATCATCCTCTAACCCCACTGACGCTCTGGAAGCGCTGAAGCCAGAGGACAAGCAGGCAGAGATGGCGCTACGGCGGGCGCACCAATATGATGCTTGGGCCATTCGATCTGCCACGGCCGCATCATTTTTCACTCGATCTTCCATCAGATGGCTCAGACAGTTGAAACAGCATGTCCCCCCGTCAAACACCAGGGCCCATCAGGACATTGCCAAGCTCACGGCCGCAGCGGAATTTGCGGCCGACGCTACTTTTCACTCTGTGAAATTTTCTTCTCGGGCTATCTCCTCGCACGTTACTGCCCGACGACTGCTTTGGCTTAGACACTGGCAGGCCGACATTAAGAATAAAGCTAAATTGGCCTCTGCTCCCATCTCGGGAGGCAAATTGTTTGGCCCAGCCCTGGAACCATTGTTGATGGAGAGCCGGAATAAAAAGAAATTCCTCCCATCCCTTTTTCGCAGGCAAGAGTCCAGAGGGTCCCAGTCCTTTCAGAGGGGCTCCTTTCGTACCTCCTTTCAGACACCATTCACCCCCAGATATTAGAGCTCCCCGACATTTCGGCCGGCCTATCAGGACCGGGGCGACACGGGAGACAGGAACAGGAGGGGGGGCAGCTACAGGAAGCCCTTCCAGGGTGCAGGAAGTAAAGTGTCCTGGCGTCCCAGATAGGCCTTCAGCCACTTATCCCATTAGCGGTCGCCTCAAATATTTTGCCGACCAGTGGGAATCATCCACTTCTGATTCCTGGGTTAGGGACACTGTAAAATTTGGCCTCTCCCTTCAGTTTCGGTCCCCCCCTCCGGAGCACTTCATGGTTTCTCCTCTTTCCAGAGACCGTACTAAGCGTGCTCTCATAGAAGCCGCTATCAAACACCTCTCTGAAATCAAGGCCATACAGCCCGTGCCACCTTCGCAGCGAGGAGAGGGGTTTTACTCCCTCCTCTTCTTAGTTCCTAAACACTCCGGGGGTTGGAGGCCCATTTTAGACTTGAAGAGGCTCAATCGCTACATTGTCCTTCATAAGTTCAAAATGCATACACTTCAGTCCATCTTGCAGGGCACCAGGAAGGGAGACTGGCTCACCTCCATTGACCTCTCTGAGGCATACCTTCACATCCCCATTCATCCTTCGTTTTTCAAATATTTGAGATTTTGCTACAACGGCCAGCATTTTCAATACGTGGCCCTTCCCTTTGGTCTAATCTAGGCTCCGAGGACCTTCACCAAGGTGTTGGCAGCTCTAGCGGCTCACCTCAGACAGTTCCCTATCCGCATTCACTGTTACCTTGACGACATCCTCATACTATATCCCCCACCCAACATCAAGCCGAGAGGGACACTAAGACCACCCTCTCGGTGCTTTCCTTTCCCCCGAAAGGTTCAGCAGTATCCAGAAATCGATCAGGGTCATTAGACGGGCAAGAAAGGCCTCATTGCTGGACTTATCCAAATTACTTGGCAAATTAGTTTCATGCATATCTATTGTTCCCTGGGCCCGCCTACATGCCAGATCCCTGCAGTGGTTCCTCCTGCCTTATCAGCGTTCCGGAAGGAGCAATTCAGGAGTCGTGGTGAAGGTTCCTCCAAGGGTTCTCGCCTCCCTCCTCTGGTGGACCAGACCCGCTACCAACAAGGGACATCTTTTCAAGGAGCCCCAAAGGGTCACTCTCACAACAGACGCCAGCCTATCCGAATGGGGGGCCCACATGCAATCACTTTCAGCTCAGGGAACTTGGTCAGCAACCGAGCGACGCTGCAGCATCAACTGGCTGGAGCTTCACGCAGTATACCTGGCCTTACGCGCCTTCCTCCCTCAAGTGCGAAGGCGCCACGTACTAGTCCTGACAGACAACACTACAACCAAGGCCCACATCAACCGTCAAGGGGGCACTCATTCCATCCGCCTCATGAGGGAGGCCGAGCGGCTCTGTCGGTGGGCAGAGGTCAACCTCTTATCCATCAGGGCAGAACATATCTCGGGGGTCTCAAATGTCCAAGCAGACTGGTTGAGCAGGGCCACCCTGGACCAGTCAGAATGGCGCCTGCACCCCTCCCTGTTCAAGGAGGCATCAGCGATATACAGTCAACCCCTGGTGGACCTGTTCGCGTCTCCGCTCAACGCCCAGACACCGAGATTCTTCTCACGATACCCCACCAAGGGGGCAGAGAACCACGATGCCCTGCGTTGCCCCTGGCCCACGGGGCTTCTATACGCATTTCCCCCCCTCCCGTTGATTCCCAAGGTCATTGGGATCCTCGAGAGGGCGGAAGTTCTCCTGGTGGCCCCATATTGGCCCAGGAGACCATGGTTTGCAGATCTTCGCAATCTGTCAGTGGCCCCCCCGTGGAGGATTCCGCCAGACAGGGTCTCGCTGTCCCAGGGACCTCTTCAGCACCCAAATCCACAGTGGCTTCAGTTAGCCGTCTGGAGGTTGAGCGGGAGCGTCTAAGAAATGAGGGCCTGTCGGCCCAGGTCATCAATACCATCCTGGCAGCAAGACGGCCTTCGACCACCCGCATTTATAACGCAACCTGGAACATCTTTTGTAAGTGGTGCCACAAGTCCTCCATCAATCCACTCTCCCCATCAATTGCACAAATCCTGGCCTTCCTACAAGACGGGCTGGATAGGGGCCTCTCCCCCAATACCCTGAGGAGGCAAGTCGCAGCCCTATCAACTGTGGTCTCTGGCAGCTCTTCTGGCTCGCTTTCACACCACCCTCGCATCCGAGCATTCCTTAGAGGTGCCTCCAATCTGCACCCTCCAGTAATTCACAGATACCCAACTTGGGATCTTAATAAGGTTCTTATGGCGCTGACTAAACCTCCCTTTGAGCCTCTCAGGGAGGCGCCACTTCAGTTTCTCACGTTGAAAGTGGTGTTTCTTGTAGCAGTAACATCTGCTCGACGGATATCTGAAATAGCAGCTCTATCCGTTAGAAAGGATCTATGTGTTTTCCACACTGATCGGGTGGTTCTACGGCCAGACCCCTCCTTTATGCCTAAGATCAACTCGGCTTTTCACAGATCACAGGAACTGGTTCTTCCTAATTTTTGTCCCAGACCTTCTCGAGAAAGGGAAAGGCAGTGGCACACTCTCGATGTCTGAAGGGCACTTCGTATCTACATCTATCGCACACAGTCTATCAGGAAGTCAGAATCTTTGTTCCTGTCATTTCAACCAAAGACGCTGGGTTGCAAAGTATCCCCGTCTACTGTTGGCCATTGGATTAGAGCTACCATATCCAAGGCCTATTTGTCTCAGGCCCTTCCTGTTCCTAGTGGGATAACCGCTCACTCTACAAGGAGTGCAGCTACTTCAGCAGCCTGGGCTACTCAGGCATCGATTCAGGATATCTGTCGAGCGGCCACCTGGGCGTCTCCGTCTCCCTTTATATGCCACTATAAGATCGATGTTTACGCTTCAGCAGAAGCATCCTTTGGCAGGCAAGTCCTTCAACAGGTGGCGAGAGAACCAGAGGAGATTCCGGACCAGACGGAGTCCCTCCCGTAGGACAGGCCATGCTTTGGCATGTCCCACTCTGGATGCTCGCAGCAGCTCTATGGAGAATGGGCGTTGGTACTTACCTGACACGCCCTTTCTCGTCGAGCTGCGTAGAGCATCCAGCCCCACCCTAATTGGTCCGTCTAGTGGGGAATCCTGTTTCGGCCAATGATGTCCATAGTTTATAGTTGAGACTTGTATAATAGTTAAGATGAGAGGATAGTTGTTGTCTTCTCGTCTTCGTAAAACTGGGGAACGCTACGGAGGAGTCACGTGGAGGAGGAGGAGCGTTCCTCAATTATAGCTCAGCCTGTAAGAGTGAAGACTGGAGCACCTCCCACTCTGGATGCTCTACGCAGCTCGACGAGAAAGGGCGTGTCAGGTAAGTACCAACGCCCACTTTGTAAATAGTTGAACAGTGTTGAGGGAATTATTTGTTTAGCAGAGTAATGGCTTTCAGGAAAAAAACTGTTCTTGTGTCTAGTTGTTCTGGTGTGCAGTGCTCTATAGTGTCGTTTTGAGGGAAGGAGTTGAAACAGTTTATGTCTGGGATGTGAGGGGTCTGTAAATATTTTCACAGCCCTCTTTTTGACTCGTGCAGTATACAGGTCCTCAATTGAAGGCAGGTGGGTAGTAATTGTTTTTTCTGCAGTCCTAATTATCCTCTGAAGTCTGTGTCTGTCCTGTTGGGTTGCAGGACCAAACCAGACAGTTATAGAGATGCAGATGATAGACTCAATAATTCCTCTGTAGAACTGGATCAGCAGCTCCTTGGGCAGTTTGAGCTTTCTGCGTTGGCGCAGAAAGAACATTCTTTGTTGTGCTTTTTTGATGATGTTTTTGATTTAATTATGTTTTTGATTTAATTATGTATGAAAACATTTCTTACATAAATAGTATTTGAAAGCAGATTTTTGCAAAGCTTGTTGGCACTCCTGAAAGCAATACAGTGGCCATATCCTTTGAAAGACTGACACAACTGCTTTGAAAGTGATTTCCATGTACATACACAAAAATATTTTACTAGTATCTCTAGGCACATATGGCTGATGACAGCCTATAAAGCAGTTATATTTGGAGGAATGATGATTTGTGCTAACATGTTTCAGTGCTTTTCACAGCTCTAATCTTCATATTGTCCATTCTTTTTTTGCGTTATTTTATATCCATTCCATAATGTTAATATAAATGATATAAAAGTATATAATCTGTTTTCATTTTTAATAAACTTTGCTGCATATTGTATTTGTTGTACCAATTACATTTCATAATACTATAATAGTGTTTTGTTCTCAATATATAGATATTATTGTTTATAAATACTTGAACGTGACTGCTGTTAAAATGCCACAGCAAAACAATGATTGCTCACATTTGGAATCTGTTGGTGAGATAACCAAAGAAGATTTGATACACAAATCTCATGTGAGTTTCAGTTTAGTAATCTTTTTGTTGTATTCATCTTTGCTTCATTCTTAAATTCTCATCTTGTCATTTAACTAAAGTCAATGTATGTTAATTGTTAAAGTGTTATTAAATTAATGTTTAAGAAGTCATTAAGTTTTACTTAATTTATTAAGTGGAGAGTGTAGATATTATGTATTTATTGCCTAGATGTAATAATATACATTAAGAAAATATTTTGAATGTCATATTTTAGTAACATAGTTTTTATATGCCACTAGTTGAAAAATCAAAATAAGCATCTACTTTAAAATAATAGTTTTCTTAAGTTGTTATGTAATAAATATTTAGTATTTCTAGTAATAACAATAGAGTTTTTCTTCTTTGTTCCATATGAGCTAATTTTATTAACTAACTGCCTGATTCCTTGTTTTTAATAGGGGAGTTGTCAAGACTGCAAAGTAAAAGGACCAAATCTGTGGGCATGCTTAGAGGTAAGCAGAATTAACGTACAGGTAGTCCTCAGTTTGCAACAGTTCATTTAGTGACTGTTCAAAGTGACTTATAACTGTTTTTCATACTTGCGACATTTGTAGCAGCCCCATGATCACATGATCAAAGTTCAGATTCTTGCCAACTGATTCATACTTATGACCTTTGCTATGTCCTAAGGTCATGTGATCACCTTTTGCAGTCTTTTGATAAGCAAAATCAATGGGGAAGCCAAATTCACTTAACAACCTTGTTACTAACTTATCAACTGAAATGATTCACTTAACAACTGTGGCAAGAAAGGTCATAAAATAGGGCAAAACTCACTTAACAAATGTCTCACTTAACAACGTAAATTTTTGGCTCAATTGTGGTCTTAAGTCAAGGACTACCTGTATATAATATGCAATAACTAAGAATTTCTCTTTCTGAAAGTGCAACTTTGCCAGGCATTAACTCTGCAATCATTTATTCATGTATGACTTTTATTGATCTCTAGTCAGAACTAAGATTACTTGAAATTTCTGGGTGGTGTGATTGTATGCAAATTATGTATTGTTTCCTTAATGAAGGCTACATTTCAGATCCATTTTTGAGCTCTGCTTAGCATTTGCAAAGTTGGCAATCAAATCTAGTGCTCTAACGGTCAAACCACAGTAGATTTTAATTTCATCTGAAACTTACAGGTCAACATTCCATTTTTATTGGAAATGTAGGGTAAAATATATGTTAAGTTTCTATTATGTTGTTCCAGAGAATATTTTTAAGATGATTTAACAAAGCCATATATTTTTGTAAAGTCTCTTTTGTTGAAAAAATAGTTCCCTACATAAATGGAATGGCATATGAAAAACATTTTTAACATATGCCTGTATTTTTACTGAAAAGTCACTTTATATTTTAACTCAATTGTGTTAATCAGAAGAATTTAGTGTAACATACATATAAACTGCTTTATAATAATTCAACATTACTGTAAGAATTTGTATCAATTCAAATAAATTGATGTATTTCATTCTTTATGTTTTTGTTAGCTATTCAGTTGCATAACAGCTTTCTAGGGAGATACAATATTCGTGTTTATAAACATAGACATTCTATGTTATCATAGTCATTTATCTTTAGTCAGATAATGAATTGCAGTCGAAAAGCATTGATAGATGTTAAAGTTCATTATATAGTATTAGGAATTTTTTTTAATGATATATATTTTGGTTAAGTACTATAGGGTTACCGCTAAAGTTTGGCCATAAAAGAATAATTGCTGTTTAGGTTGCTTTAGAAGTTGAATTTATAATAAATATGCATCTTATATGATTTAAGTGATCATTGAAAAAATAATAGCTCTAAAGGATTAACTGCATATGCTATCCTTTTTAATATATAACTTTATTAAAATGCTTTTAAAAAGATTAAAAAGTAATATAAAATAAGTAGAAAAGGAAAAGAAAAAAACAGAAAACTAAAATGCAGGAAACGGGAGAAAAAGATGCAAAGAAGTGAACCACATGGTCATAAGTGTGACCTAACAATAAAATAAACATTTGGATTGTTTATTACAAAGGAAAAAATTAATTTGTAGGTTTTACATTTTTAATTCAGCTTCTAAAATAAGTACAAATCCTTTTAGCAGAATATAAGTTCCTTTATATAGTGGTTAAAGGGAATATCATTTCACTTCTGGTTTTGTACTTTTAATAGTGTTAGGATGGTTAATTATTTAGGCAAGCCTAAATAGAAAATGCTTTGCTGTTAATTAATTAAAATGGTCTCCAAAAGGTTGCATAACAGATTTGTTAATATTAAGTATGACCATTTTGGTCCATTCCATAAATCTTTTCCAACAATCCTATTCATCATGCCTCTTCAGAGGCTTTCTTTGGCACTGTCATTGTTCTATTTTTAAGGTGATTCTAGTAGCTGTTTGCTAAGAAAGCAAACTGCTCAATTTTTCTAAGAAGCAGTGGGTTTAATTGTTTATTATTGTAGTGGATTGCATCTTGTTAATGTTTACTTTGTTTGCTTTAACAGAATAGATGCTCCTATGTTGGTTGTGGGGAGTCCCATATAGATCATAGCACCATACATTCAGAGGTATGTTTGCATATTCTTTTGACAGTTTACACCAGGGGTGTCCAACCTTGGCAACTTTAAGACTTGTGGACTTCAACTCCCAGAATTCCTCAGCCAGC